TTAAATTTTATTTGTGGAGAACACTGATGATGTAAAACAAGCAGCCTGTCGGCTAAGATAGCTCCGCTGTTAGCAATGCACATTTCATTTAAAGAACTGAAGATATCATCATCAAATGAACAAATCTGAGAGAGGTCCACATGTAGTACCTATATGTATAATATATAAAAGCAATTGCACTTGCGGTTTTTAACAAGAAGTCGAAAATATCACTTTTTACCAAAAATTACAAAAATATTCATCACAATTAGAGAATTAAAGATATCATTACAAAATGAACAAATCTGAGAGAGGTCCACATGTAGTACCTACCGGTATATATGTAATATTAAAGCAATTGGACTTGCGGTTTTTAAAAAGAAGTCGAAAATATCACTTTTTACCAAAAATGACAAAAATATTCACCAAAATTAGAGAATTGAAGATATCATCATGAAATGAACAAATCTGAGAGAGGTCTACCCAAGGTACATATACACCAAGTATTAAAGCATTCAGGCTTGTAGTTTTCAAGAAGAAGTCGAAAAAGTAAAACATTGACACGGACGACGACGACGGACAATCACTCATATGATAAGCTCCGCTCGACAAAGTCGACAGCGGAGCTAAAAAAGGTTAATGCTGTTGTTAGATCAGCTTCCAATCTCCATTTCTCCATTTTCCACAGTGCACTTCCCTTTGTACTACATGTGTATGTTCACAAAGAAACCCAATTACTGAGTTACTGCAGGACACAGTAATTCAGATCAAGGGTGAATTTTAAATCCTCCCATGTGTCACATAATTGTCCCAAAACTCCAATAATTTCAGAGTAACGCAATTGAAGCTGACATACAACTCTTCTGACTGTACCATAACTAATTGCCCACAGAATGTACTGCACGTAGGGATGTAGTACAACCTGTATGGTGTGACAGCTGAGCTGACAAATATGTTTCGGAATGTTCAAACCTCAATGTGAAAACTAGAAAAACCCAAGCAAATGCTTCTACTGTTTTCGTTGTGATCGATTCGAAACAATGTGCAAGTCTGTACAAATTGAACGAAAATCGGATAATAAATTACTCAAATTATAGCAACATCGAGAAAACACTGATGACAGATTTTGTTGACATAATCTAATTTCAGCATGCATGTAAAAGCACACCAGATTTTTGCAACTCTCACAACTGATGAAAAAGTAAATATTTGTGTTTTAGCGGGCCTCCCTTTTACACACATGTGTTGCTAAGATGACTTTGAATAATATTACCGGTACATCAAGTCGGTACAAAAAACGTGGTTTATATGGGCTGTTGAGTAGTCAAACCTGGCACATTGCTAATTGGTAAAGTGAATTACATTGGCTCTATCCTAATAGGAAATAACATTACGAGGAAAACACATTAGCTGAGGAGCATGTACCAAACTCTGACTACGCTGTGATTAATGCACAATTCTAGCATATGCTGACAAATACAGGCCAATCACCTTAATAAATTTAGAAAGTTCTCCTTTGTGAAGTTAACTCAATGTTCTTTGATGTTTACTGTCGAACAACAAACATACAACTATTTCTGCCTCAGCATTGCTCATTCTGCTTCATAGAACAATTCAAAACTTGGTGATTCAATTCATTTGACCAAACTATTGTTTATCAGATACTCCTACACATAAACAGCAATATTTTACAATGTTTTAATGCATTTGGCCAAACATACCCAAAGTACATACTGAAAAATTATGCAAATCAACTAATTGAAATGCAGATTGATGCCCAACAATAATCATGCGGTTTTCAACAAGAAGTCAAACATATCACTTTTTACCACAAATGACAGAAATATTCATCAAAATTAGAGAATTAAAGATATCATCGCAGAATGAACAAATCTAAGAGATGTCAACCCAAGGTACATATACATCCAGTATCAAAGAAATAAGGCTTGTACTTTTCGAGAGGAAGTAGAAAAAGTAAAAAGTTGACATGGACAATCACTCATATGATAAGCTCGGTCAACTAAGTCAACAGTGGAGCTAAAAAGGCAGCATTAACTAAAAAGTTACATTTGTCAATTACTAAAGGTACATATACAGATCTTCTCGGTTAACCATTTCAATATAATATGAACCATAAATATTAAACAAGTATAATTTAATACTATTAAAAAGATGGCTACATTAATATTTCATTTCTCAAGAGACCAAGATGCATCATATTACAAATTATATATATATTTCTGTCTGGAATATTAGATAATCGTTTTTGGTTTAATGCAGGGATTTAAAAACAAGTCAACTATTAACCCAGAGGCTGCCAGTTGTCGTGTCCTGATCATATGACATTTATACAAGAGTACATAGAAAGAGGCTTAACAAAGGCAGGTATATCCAAACTTACATGCATAATCTAGATTAATTAAACTGTCATTTCTTGGGAAAATCCAGATAACTGTCATTTTTATTTTACATTGGTGGAATCTTGCACAGATGTATTAAAGAATGAGTCTGTTTGTTTGGGTGATATTTACTCAGCAGCAAGTGAGTGGGAGATGTGATAGTTTCCAATTAGCCCCATTAGCATATTAATACATGTCCCTATCTCAGAAATGGCCTTGTGTGTAGATACAAACACAGAGGATGGATGAACAAAGTGACCCAAATCAATATTATAGTTCTCAATTTTTGGACAATCCAAGGCAGTGTTAAAAGACAAGTGAGGTACTTGTGAATGGTATTAATTTATAAGTACAGTGTACAGCCATATTTAAGCACCACAATGCAGAGCAAATTTTAATTTTACATAAAGTGTGTTTAACAGACATGGTATACAAAGACCATATTGAACAGATGCCACATGTTCCCTAATTATCAAAAAATAATACATACTTTATTGGTAACCATATTTGTAACTTAAAGCACTATAATAGTTGCAACATATGTTCTGTATAGGTCCCAAAATGACACATATAAGTATTATATATATATATAATTAATGTATGTAAAATCAAAGAAAGTTTAGAAAAAACTTTTATGTGCTCAAAGTATTGGAGACATTGAAAATTAATTAGCCTTCCAAACAAGAAGCTTGGCAACTAATATTTGTCTGCTATTTGAGATGTGATCCACATTATTGAAGTTTATAACACTTTAAAAAAAAAAAATACATTTTATTTTACATCTATTATTTTCAGTCTAATTTATGCCAGAGCACCTCTACCACAAGTGCAATTTAAAACTTATTTTTTGAGATACAAAAAAATGGCTAATAATAATTAGATAATCAATATGCAAGTTTTTCATTATTAAATTAATCACATTTGTGAATTCGCCAAGACCATCTATGAACCGAATTTCAATGCAATGTGATGCTTATGTAATTAGTATGCTCACATTCCAATCCCAAACTAATGCATTGTTCAAACACTTATATACCATGTTTAAGAGATCTAATAAAACCATTATGGTGAAACAAAATGGCCAATGTTTGGAGAAACATTTCACTGCATTAAAGTACATGCATTGTTTGCGACAGAAAGCTTATCATCCATTATATCAGAATCGTCAACAACAGAGTATACAGATAAGATGTTATGTTAAACTGTCTCAAAGATAAACATTATGCACATATCCTTGATGAAAATGAAAATTTCCCTTGTCGCCAACTTAATTTATAAATTATGAAAATAGTAAGGGTAGACTCAATGTAGGTCCTGCATTCACAAGTAGGTGTAAAGTTAAATTGAAGTCGTCACAACGTTGGAACCACACACACACACACACACACACACACACACACACACACACACACACGTACACATACATACAGACATACACATACTTACAAAATATATTATTTAGTGTCAAATAAAATATACTATACTATACTATACTATACTACTAAGTGCAAAGACTCCCATTGTGAGCTTCCCATAGGAATAAAAAACAAACTATGAACATGTACTTTGTTCTAACTGATGCACTTTAACAGAAATGTACTTACCGGATCAGTAATCATGCACTTGATATGAGAGGCATATCCTAGAAATACCAGTGTATTAAATATCATCATATTTGTACAGGAATACAGAGTAGATACCATAGGTGTAAGAACCACATAGTTAATGACAAATATCCCATAGGCAAGCAGTAAATAAGTGACAACAGCGCAAATAATTCCACAGGGATCCTGAAACGGAGAAAAAGAAAAAAATTATGATGCTAAACATAACAAGAAACTGTTCTACACACGCATCATAATTTAGCAAATTTGAGGATCAAAATGGCTGCCAACCATATTTAATCAAATGGTAATGAAAATGTATGTGCATATGTAAATTATCATACATGGTCTTTGTATTAGGTTTTGAAGTGAAAGCATGGCTCTGCACGCTGCATCAAAATAATGATAAAGATAAATTACAATTCTTATTTACAGATGTGTGCAATGACTGGTTTTCATTATACAGGAAAAATGCTAAATATTAACTTGTATCCTAATAAAATTATAGGTAATAAATCTTTATCATTGGAACAAGTCATTTTTATAGATTGTATAAGAAATGCATGATTTGTACAAACACTAGATTGTATCCATTGTGATCACATGTGAAAATTTAAGACGACTTGCTCCATATTTCTCTACCTTAATGAAACATTAATGGAGTATTGGTATGAACGTAGTGTGAAATAACTACTGCAACATGTTAAGCCATCCATTAAGTTCAAATTCATGTACCAGTGCGTGATTTGTAATTTTATTTGTTTTGTAATATTGAAATTGGCATGTTTTGTTTATATTGAGAAGTCTGCTTATTTGATATCAACAAATGATTACCTAAACTGGCTCTATTCGGAATGATTAGTTTTTGTTTTTAGCAATAAATAAATAAATGGAAATGTGAGTATCTTGAAATTTGTGAAATTGCAATCAATTCATGTTATTTATTGTCCTATAGATCACCACAACTGAAGACAGTCTAATGATAAATGTTTAGAACACAACCATTGGTTTATTATCAGTTATTTGGCAAATGGTTTGGTCACCATACATAAAAATGCGAGTTACTGAATTGACAGGGAATGGAATCATAGTGCACCACTACAAACACAAGCATATATGTACCGGTACATACATGTACAGTGCATACGACTCCAAATGAAAATGTTCCCTGGTTTAATTGTCTTTACTCCATCGCATGAGCGATGTGTTATATTAAGTTCATTCAAACACAATAAACTTAATCACTGATCACTGCATGTATATCAGCTCTATATATTCTTCAGTTTACAGAAGCACAAAAAACCTACACTAGACCTGACCAACGTGCTCTATTAGAAGTACATTTTCAATAAATGCACATACACGTATAACCCCAAAATCACATTTGTTGTACACTATTATTTTGACCATAGAAACACCAAAAGCGCATACACCACACTAATAGAACAAATACAGTACACATGTAGTAACAATATACTGGTACTAATTTCAAAGGATATTGCACATCAATATTTATGCATGTCAGTTCGTCTGATTGATAACAAAATGGGGTTAAATAATGATGAAGGATGAGAAGAAGAAAATATTTTACGACTGCATATAACATGCAAACATCAAGTTTTGCTGGTCTCTTGAGAAAAACGTAATCTTGCATTTTCACAGGAAACAGACGAGATCACATCCCTGAAGAGTTTCATAACTGGATCTTGGTAAATAAGAATCCTTTTCAAATTACTGAGCACAATCCTGACTTGCATATTATCTTGAGTATATTACATAATGTTCCTCTCAACTGATAGGGTGGTAATGCTGATGTAAATTGTTAATAAAATTGAAAATTAATAAGTTTGGGATTACTATCTACAATATGGATGTAGGTAATAAATATTTAATTATCACTAATAAAGCACGGATACAAACTCCTGTACATCACTTTAATTTGTCCGAAATCACCCTGAGACTATTTTTCAATGTTATTATCAGACAGAGATTACAATGTGCAATAAGGCTTCATGATATGAGGTTATACAGCTTTAATACATACATTGTGCATGTACAATGATATGTGATTAAAGGCCCAATTCACTTGCCCTGGCAAGTGTGAATTGGAGGTGTGGCTATGCTAATGCGTGGTGTTAATCACTTGCATAGCCTGTTTCAGCGGTCCAACATCATGTGACTTTGATTGACAGTAGTAATTATTCAAGATTAGTCGCGCGTACCTTTACCCGGTTCATGTTTTTTTACTTTTATCCGTCAAAATCTCAGCTCGTAGACTATTTATTGTCATAAATACTACACACAGTCACTGCT